CTCTGCCTGCTCAGCCCCCCCTTCTACCCCCCCTGCCTCCTCCGCCCACCCCCTCCCCGGCTTCTGCCCCAGCCCCTAGCCTGCTCTTCCCTTTGCCTCTTCCTCACTCTGCCCCGTCCCCGTCTTCCTTTTGCCCCACTCCTCATTCCTCCTCTGCTCCCTCCTCCCCCAGGCCCCCTCCTCAGCCTGCCCCTTCCTTCTGCTCCCTGCTCTTTCACATGTCCCTTCTTCAGCCTGCCCCACGCTCCCTGCTTCTCCAACTCCAGCCTGCCTCCCTCCCCCTTTCTCCTGCCCTCGCCCCTGCCTGTCACTCTGCCCTCCCTTTTCACCTCCCCCAGCTTGTCTCACCTCTTCCTTAGCCTCCCTCTTCTTCCTTGTGTCCCCCTCTGCCCCAGGCCTCTCCCTCCTTCCTTTCCCCTCCCTGGCCCACACTCCCATTACTCCTGCCTTTTCCATTTTTCTGCAGTCCTGTCTTCTCTTGTCTCCAGTCTCTTCTCCAACACACTCCCATATTCTTCCTCCCTCTAATCTCTTTCTCTCTCCCCACACCCCTTCTGCCATTCCCACTTCTCCTTGCTACCCATCCAGCTGTTCAGTTAATCCAGTCTATCTTTGTGTCTGATGGCAAGTGTTATCTACTGCTGCCTGGCATGAGGTCTGGCTTGGAGATTTCTATCTGCATATTCCTTTATAATAACTGTGCTGGGGAGAGCAAGTAAGTATAAGGTGGGCTGCATTTGCATTAGAACAGTGCTATTTTTTTCTTTATTTCTCATGAACAGATGAAAGAGAAGGGATCAAAGCTTTTATCAGTTCATATGTTGTAGCATGTGCCTTAAAATGGGGGGGGAGGAATACTGGGTTTTTAATACTGCTCAGAACAGACTAGTGATAGAAGCTAGTGTTTAGAAATAGGTATGCACAAATCTAAGCTTGATTTCAAATGTGCGTTATTTTCCAGTTATTGTCTTTCAGGGTGTTTTGTGATTTAGCTTTTAAAATAATTTTAGGCCAAACTTGTAATAGCGGAGTTGTATCTCATTCATGGAGAGAAAGTTCTACAATATAGATAAGTACAAGTAATCGTGTGTTGCTTCTGTTATTAATTCCAGAGTCAGGTATTAAATGCCTGTGATTTCATACGCACTGGGTAGACACATAATAGTATTTTGAAGACATGTTCCCTCTTCTCATATTATTGTCTTCCTGAAGGGGAGAATAACAGGAAAAAGAACTTGTCCTCCGAAGTATTTTGGTACAGGATTGAGATAGTTGTGACGTCTATAAAAGCAGTTAAAATAAATGTTGATGTCTTATAGTCTGTGTTTGCAGAACACAAGAACATATTTTGTGTTTCATGCTGACTTACATAGTCATTTTTACTAAAATAGACTTTCTCAAAGTACATTGACATGTTTTTGTAAACACTAGTCACTGTCTTACGCTATTCTGAGTGATGCTACTGTTACAGTTTTAGCTATAATAGCTTGACTATTCAAGTCAAACCTACAGTGTTTTGATGGTAGTTTTTTTTTAAAGTTGTCCCTGCAAACATATTTGGTCCTTCAGAACTTTCATTATGTAATCCTTTTTTCAGTTGAATTAATATTCCCCGTTATGATCTTAACTCCTCCATTCTCAGTAAAATTGTGTGTAGCTCCAGTTTAAAGAACATGCTCCTGCTGTCCTTACTCAGACATAATGTTTCCTATTGATGTTAGTGGGTATTGAATACAGAGTTCAAGATCTGACCTGTTCTGGGATCATTCTCACAATCATGAGAGACTGATCTGTTACTGTCCTCTGACTATAGGTTTCCTACTGATATTTATAATGGATTTACTGTTGTAGTTAAATGAATAGCTACTCTAATACACAAACCACTAGGCTGAATTACTTTGAAACGCTGTATTCAGCAGTAGTTTGTCTTAAAATCACAAAATATCTGAAATAACAAAATAGATCTGTTTTCCCTTTCTAACAATATGGCCCATTTTAGTCATGCTTTCAAGAAAAAATAAACATTTTATGCCCAGTTTTGTTCTGCAGTTGTAGTATCAATCCCTGGTGGAAGGAAATTATTTTTGTATGAGAAGTGATATTGGACCCTTTGTTATAGTCACATCATTAGTGCTTTCATGTTTGATTCAGTGACAGTATTAGACTTTAGGCTTCCTTTTTTAATATTCTGTGTTCTCGTGGAACCTTGTGGAAGCTGTGCAGAGACATGGTTTTCAGTGGGGAAAAACAGATATATTTGAATCAGTCTTTTTGTGTGGGGTAATATGTGTTCTATCAAATTATTATAGTGGGAATTCCTAATCAGATGAGTGGGAAGATAGAACTACTCTCTTCAACAGACTTTCTAATAAATTCCTTATGAGGGCTGAGGGAATTTCATGTCAAATGTTGTAAAATAGTTCTTTAGTCTTATGCATAGTGTCTTTCAGGTTCTATCTCTTTCATATTTTCACTCACTGATAATTGTTGCCTACTGTCTGATTGGGGCAGCATCTTCATTGTATAAATGCATCTGCTAGCTAGAAGATTTTGCTTTTAGTTGAGATCCGGAAATTTATGTCAAGACACAGTGTAGCAATGAGATTTTTAAAGCTATAATGACATCTGATAACCTTCAGAGCCCAGTGGCCTGATGTGAACCCTGTTTTATCCATGCATGTTGTGTTTAGGAGGAAGAGTTTCGTGTTTAAGAGTTTTGTCAGTTGTATCTGCTTTTAACATGCCTACGGTATATCCACTTTACAAGAAAGCCGAAGTAGACAGAAGTCTCTAATCTTATGCTGCTGGTTGTCATGTCTATTCATCTTTGTAAATGTAAAGTTCTCAGAGCTGACATACATGCATAACTCCGGCATATTGGATAGCCTTATCATTTAACATTGCCCATTAAGTAAAAGAATTCTCTCTCTCTCTCTCTCTCTCTCTCTCTCTCTCTCTCCTGCCTTTATCTTTTCTCCTCCCCCCTTTGCATTTCAGTTACTAATGGAAGTACCCCTCCATAATACTGTTTGTCTAGAGAGTCTTCAGTTTATGGATGAGATACTTAAGTGTACAATGCCTTTTCAGGGTACTTATATGATCCTCATCTCTATAATATCTGAGCACCTCACAATCTTTCAAGTAGTTATCCTCAAAATGACCTTGTGGCTTTGTTGTTAACCTAATTTTACAAGGAAAGAACTGAAGCCTGGTCTGCCCCAGAAAATTAGATCAGTTAAATTACATTGGATGGGGTGTGAAAAATCTGCACCCCTGAACAGCATATTTAAACTGACCTAAGTCCCCATGTAGACAGAACTAGGTTGACAGAAGTATTATTTTATTGACCTGCCTCCTGGGGGAGGTTGGGGGTGGGGGGCATATAACCTACACTGACAGGAGGCTATTCCTCATTGATATAGTGTCTACAGTGATGCACTGCAGAGGTGAAAGTGTGCCACTGTCGTTTTCAAAGTATTGATAAGCCTGAGGTACACAGAGACCAAGGGCACGTTTATAAAGGTACTCAGGTATCTAATTTCAATGGGACTTGGTGGCTTGCTCAAGGTCACATAGGAAGCATTTACAGAACAGGGAAGTGAATTTGACTGTCCCGGGTCCCATTGCACCATCTTTCTGTTCTTTTATCAGGCCAAGTTCAGACCTGGTTTTGAGAGGATGCAGCTCCTCTCTTGCATATTCATACATTTTGAGTTGCAATTGCCTCTCTAATTGGCCTGACAAAATTAGTCTCTAGCAGCAGATGAAACTGTAAACTCTTTGAGGCAGGGCAGCCTTTTCTTTATGAGACAGGAGCCTGATACCTGACTGGACCTTCTAGACACTGTTGCAGTATAAATGATAATTGTTCATCATATACGTATTAGGGATGTAAGTGACCAGTCGACTAGCGGGTTACCTGCTAAGCATATGCTTATTGAATAGTCGAGTAGCGACTTGACTAGCTTCCTCTATCAGAGAGAGGCAGCAAGGGGTGGGGAGCAGGAGCCGGTTCCACCCCCCAGCACCGTCTCTGGGGGAGCAAAAGAGGCAAAGGCGTAATGGGGGAGCTTCCAGGCAGCTCTTAATATGTATAAAAGCAGAGGCGCAGCAAGAGGGGCGAAGAGCAAGCCAGGAATCAGCTGTCTTGGCTTGGTCCTGCCCTGCCTCCCCCTGGCTGCACATCCAGGCCGGGAGTTAACCCCGCTGCAGCTCTGCAGTTTCCCCCTTTATCGACTAATCGAGGAGTTGATGGAATTTCCATCGACTACTTGATTAGCTGATTACCTGCAATTTAACATCCCTAATATGTGTATGGATATAAATGAAAACTGATTCAGTGGCTCTATTAAACTTACACTTCCAGGCCTGCAGTTCCCATTCTTCTAGACTAGATGTTGTTTTTAATTATCAAAGGTGCTCTAATCAAATACTTTTCCCACACTTCTGATGCTTCCTGTGTGTTTCCTATGCTCAGTATATAAGGTATGTGGACACAGAAACTGGGAGTGAGCCTCCCAGCCTGAGTAGACAGGGTGGGGTTAGTGAGCTAAATATAGCTGTGTGGTATAGCTCTGGTTTGTCACCTGTGCTTGGACCCAGGAGGCAGGGTGGGTCTGAGCTCAGGCGGCTGGGCTGAGCCTCCTCCAGTATTGCAGTGTTCACACAACTATTTTTAGGACATTAGTGCAATGCCAGATGGCATATATCTATCTACCCAGGCTACAAAGCCCACGCTATGCCTGTGAGGAAATACTTTCAATAGGTTGAACCTCTCTAGTCCAGGACTGACTGGTGCCGCACCAGAGAATTTGCCAAACCATGGGAGGTCAGTATTGTCTAGCAGCATTACCAACACTCCCATTGCTTACTTGGCTCTTACGAGTCATTTAGGGGCAAATTAGAGCTAAATAATAGCACAGAACACTGAGAGCCAGGACTGAGGGCTGTAAACAAACTTTATGGGACCTCTGGAAACTTGGCCACACCCACATCCATCTAACTAAAATAGTGCCAGACCAGAGAGTACCTGACTAGAGAGGTTCAACAAGAAGTGCTGTGTAGTTCTATAGACGAGCCATAGGTTTAATTTATCATCTGACTCCCTTGCTCGCTCACCAGCAAAGGAGGAGGAAACTGAGCATACAGAAGCGCCAACATACTCAGCCCCTCAGGGAATGCAGAGGGAATATACTGGGTAATTATCATGATGAGAATGGATTTGATACAGAGAGGAAGTGTATGCCTTTTCTTTCCCTTCTCTATCAGTTTTTAAACATTAGAGGAGAAGTAGTATATTCTGATTTGGTATGGAAAAACCTTCTATCTCAGAGTGTGACATATCTGGAGTGCTTAGGTGCACCGTACCATGCATCTTGAAAAAATCCTACTATACTTTCAGCGATATATTCTCTCAAGTTTTTTTTCCAAGATGCCTCCCTTCACATTTTACCTCTTAAGAATAAAATAAGCCTTAGGAAGCAAACAGAGAGAGTGAACTAAAAATGTAGAAGTGTCAGGAAAATGCTCTTTAATGTCAATTTTCCTCAACAATGAGTAATAAGCAGTTCCATCTTTTATGGCCTTTTTTTCAATTGCTTTTAGTAAGGGATCTGGATTTGTTTTAATCCTTTTCAGTACGTAAAGCCCCAGATATTTCAGCCCCTTGGGAATCCAATGGGTTGTTTTTTTAAACTCCATTTAGAAAAAATAAATGAAAACAGCATTCAGAGATTGGCAGAATCTGTGATTTACTTATTTTTAATTTATTTTGTATCCTGAAAGCAACCCAGAAGTGTCATTTAAGAATAGAATCCTAGGCATCAGACTTTGCGGCTTAGTAATAAACAAGCATATCATATAGGTACAGTAGCTCTTTGTACTCTTTGACCTACTTTGTTTCTGTTCTGGCTTGCTCTTTCTTGAAACGCTGATTGGAATAGATGCAACATTTGCTCAGTAGACGACCAAAGCAATGTAACCTAATGCATGTGGTGTGCCATTTTAAAATCTACCTGACACAAAATTGTCAATCAAGTCTTTCTGCTGTAAAGCATGGTGAATGTATGCCCTAACTGATATTAATATTCATGGAGAATGGTAACTACTGGAAAATATTAATAATGGAGAAGAATTAAGAGTGTCTACATGTATGACCAAGACAGTGTATGTGAAAAATCTTCCTAATGAATTGAACTTGACTATATTATTTATATATATGCCAGCAATTATTGCCAGTACTGTCATTTATACAGTTGTATTGGTCTTGTGCTGTGACACTATTAACCTAGTTGTATTTTCTGTTTCCTTAGATACTTCCAAAAAATTCCTGAAAGAAGCTTCATGCTGTAGAAACTGTTACAGAAGAACACAACATATAGATCTGGGACTTTTGGAGTTATACTGCCAAAATGGCAGAAAATAAAGAAAGTAATAGTAAAAATATAGATGTAAGACCTAAAACCACCCGTAGTAGAAGTGCGGACAGAAAGGATGGTTACGTTTGGAGTGGAAAGAAGCTCTCATGGTCAAAAAAGAATGAGAATTGTTCTGATGGTGAAGCAGCAAGTAGTGTAGGAAAACCAGCAACTGGTTTAAGGAGCCAAGAGAGGAAGCACAGCTGTTCAGCTATTGAACTGGATTTAGATCGTTCCTGTGGCCACCGATTTTTAGGCCGATCTCTTAAACAGAAATTGCAAGATGCTGTGGGCCAGTGTTTTCCTATAAGAAATTGTAGCAGTCGGCACTCTTCAGTGCTTCCATCAAAAAGAAAAATTCATATCAGTGAATTAATGCTTGATAAGTGTCCTTTCCCACCACGATCAGAACTAGCTTTTCGATGGCATTTAATTAAAAGACACACTGCCCCCATAAGTCAAAAGGCAGAAGATTGGATAATCGCTGATTTATCCCAAAGTGAAGAGAGGGATGATCAGCTGAGAGATGGAGAGAGCATAGATGGGGGAGGAAATGCTTTCTCACAGCCGTGTGACATTACAGATAGCAACTCCTGTAAATGTGATCCTAGGACTGAATCGGTTATGAGTAAGGTGTTAATGAACAATAAAGAGGAGAGTGATATGGACTCTGATGATGAAGTTATAACACTTTGCACAAGTTCTAGAAAGAGGAACAAACCTAAATGGGAAACGGATGATGAGCTGCTGCAGATGGAAACTCCTCCCAAATATCACACCCAGATTGATTATGTCCACTGTCTTGTCCCAGACCTTCTTCGGATCAATAACAATCCGTGCTACTGGGGCGTAATGGACAAATATGCAGCTGAGGCGCTACTAGAAGGAAAGCCAGAAGGAACTTTTTTACTACGTGACTCTGCCCAAGAAGACTATTTGTTTTCTGTTAGTTTTAGACGCTACAGTCGTTCTCTTCATGCAAGAATTGAACAGTGGAATCATAACTTCAGCTTTGATGCTCATGATCCTTGTGTCTTCCATTCTCCTGACATAACTGGTCTCTTAGAGCATTATAAAGACCCAAGCTCTTGTATGTTCTTTGAACCACTTTTATCCACTCCCTTAAACAGGACTTTCCCTTTTTCCCTTCAGCATTTATGCAGAACAGTTATTTGCAACTCTACAACATATGATGGCATTGATGCTCTTCCTATTCCTCCATCTGTCAAGTTATATCTGAAGGAATATCACTATAAATCAAAAGTTAGAGTACTCAGGATCGATGTACCAGAGCAACGGAACTAGAATGTAATTTTGTGCGGGAATAGGGGTGGTCTCTTGATGATAAAGTATGTGTTCTGACCTTCTGCCCTTGAATTATTTTCCTATGGCAATTTGAATTTTTTCTGCAGATTATTTACATTTCAAACTGACCGCTCCCTGTGTCTTTCTATACAAATGTACTTTGACTCTTTCTGCCACCCCTTTTTAGTCACCTCATCAGAATCTGTGATTTTTTTGGTAATGTTCATACCCTAGGGTTTTATGGAATTTCAGGTAGGTTTTCTGGGGTTTCCACATAGGGATAGTCTTTTCTTTAGATTTAAAAATAAAAATTCATATTTGAATTTGATGTTTTTATATTGTAATTTGCATATGTTGCAGGCATGTTTGAAATGTATGCACTGTACACTAAAGACTAATCTGTATTTTCTATCTTTCAAAATGAGTGCTAATGACCTATATATAAAGTAAAATTAATCCGTTTATTTCTAACACTATTACTGTGTGAAAAATATTTAGTCTTTATCTTTTGATGGGCAGTTATTGCTATGAAGATTTTTCTACTTTCTCTAAACACTTGTGACATTGCACTGTCTTGCACTATTAATCCTGAAAAGAAGACGAATAACCTTCTTACCTCATTAGTAGCGGGAGGGCTTTTTATTTAGCTATGGTTTAGAAGAAACAGCAACAGATTGATCAAATGCTACATCTCATAAGACAAGATTGCTTGCTGCCAAATTCTGTGTGCAAGAAAATTATGCATTTTTAATGCTCCAGAAAGCTGCACCATTTTACATTATATTTTTGTGGTCATTTATAAAACTCCAGGTCTTGCTGCTTTTCAGTACAGTTATTACTCTTCTCATACTTGAATCAATGGCAAAATCCCAGTTCACCTCAGTGGGTGCAGGATAAGGCATAAAACTATTCACTGTAAATGGCAGTGGGGCCCAGGTCTGCGAGGTGTTGAGCAGCCTCTAATCTCATAGTCTGCATTGAAGGAACTCACCTCTGCTTATGGCACTGGGCCCTGATTAGCCAATCTGTCAGATGTGGTATATTGTAAAACTAAAGTGGGAGTATTGTTTTTTTCCCTTTAACCACATAGACAATTAGTGATATGCTGAATAAGCTCTTAGGCATGTAGGGCCTGATCCTTTCATATGTGATTAACTTTATTCATACATAGTCTCTTTGTCTTGATTAAGATCACTTGTCTGCATAAATGTTTGCATACTTAGAACCTAGACTAGCATTACATTGTTTCTTTGGCCATTTTGATGTTCAGTTGTCAGAAAATTATGTGAATTTGTGGCAGCAACTCTCCCCCCAAAGTTGGAGACTTAAAGTTTCCACCACAACTCCTGATACTATTCCCACCATTCCACTGAAGTGCTGCATTCCTTACCTAAAAATTCTGTTGTGACATCTTAAGGTTCAACGCAAGCTAGTATGGGGTTGTGTCATCACCTCCCTTGTATCTCTGGGTGCCTTAAATACTAGGCTACTGTGACTCACAGCCTGAATGTCAACAGGCAGTCTACAGGCATGCAGGCTACACCTGGGCTTCCTCTGGTCAGTTAATGTTTGCAGAGTGATGCCAGTGCCTGCCCAATCCCAAATTTCCTTGGCTCTTTCTATTCCGCCCTGGAGCATTCACACAAATGAAGTTTAAAGGAGTAACAAAGAGCTGTAGCTTGTTCATGAAACAGGTTTGACAAACATTCTTCTGTTACAGAACTGAATTGATTTATAGCAGGGAGGGTACCCTCCCACATGTGGCTAGAGCATCCGCTCCCCACTGCAGGAGTCAGAAAGGGAGCCCCGAGCTTTGAGGGCCAGATCACGGCAAGCCAAGCTGCCCATTGGCTTTGCCTGGCCGGGGGCAGGAAGTGGCTCTGTGTGCTGCTGTGACCCCTTCCTCTTGGCTGGAGGACCACCAGCGCAGGGAAGCGCTGCGACTGTGCTCACTTGCAGGCTCCACCCCTGTCTCTCCCATTGGCTGGGAATCTCAGCCAATGGGGGCAGTGTCTGCAAGCCCAGGGGGCAAGTAACCACCCATGCCCGCCGGGAGCTGTGCCAGATAGGTGCCTCAGTCATCTGCACCCTCCTGCCCAGACCCACTATCCCCAGCCCACTCCTGCACCCTACCTTCCCCACAGACCCTGCACCCCCAGCCTACTCCCCAGCAGACCCCTCCCACACACTGAACATTTTAGACCCACCCAGAATCTCTATGTAGAGGCCGCCACATAATGTACTTGTCCCACATCCCCCAGTAGAGTTAATCCTGCCCTGGGGGGGAAGCCCTAAGCCTCAGGGCCCTGCCTCTGGGGGTATGGAGCTTGAGGAGAGTGTTCCCCCTGCAGGCCCCAATATTTTTTGATTTCAAGAGCTCTGGCCCCTTGAATCATCAAATGAATGGATCACTCAGCTGTCTTTTTGCCTCCCTACATCACTGCAAAGTTCATTGTCTCTGTTTTGAGTCAGGAAGACTTCTTGTGGGCTTTCTGTCCCCTGCTGATTTGTATGAGCTTCCATTATCTTGATTCTAGATTGCTTAATTTACACTGGAGACAACTTGTTGCTTTTCCTCCTCTCAGAGAGAGCTTTTTTTCCTCCCTGTATTTGGTCACATACTTTAAAGCAGGGCTACTCAACTTTGGAAGCCCTGGGGGCCACAATGATACTCACAGCACATGCTGAGGGCCACAACTTAAGTGTGGATGCATAGACATGCAAATAGCTTCTTTCACACTGACGGGCATGAGTACAAAGATTAAGCCTTAAGCTGCAGTGCCAGACCCGATCATGGCCAGTCAGCACCTCTCAGGCTCTGCCCACAAGGCTAAGCAGCCAGCACTTCCCACAATGCCCCAGCGATCCCGGCACCTTCTCCCTAGGGCCTAGAAACGCCAACACCCTGTATCCGTCTGTTCCAGCCAGTCTGTCTGCTTGCGTCTTTCAGTGCTCACCCCCCACCCCCCCGGGAAACAACTCGCCGTGGTGGAGCGTATTCCCAGTGGAGGCCATGTTCAAAGCATCCTACCCGCAGGCCATGTGGTGAGTCCTGTGTAAACCCAAACCGCACTGTGGGCTGCAAATGAACAGGCGGTGGCCCACACGTGGGCCGCGTGTTGAGTAGCCCTGCTTTAAAGCATACTATCAGTGAATATCCATAATTTCTCATTGGGGGTTAATGCACACATTTCACAAGGATATTAGGCACCTGCATGTCATAGGCTTTATAAGACCCTTATTCAATATACTATTACAATACAGCAATATTGTTTACAAGGTGGCAAAGGTCCTACACTGCTGCCTCTGATACATGGGGCGGGGAGCCTGTGTGTAACCGGTCACGGTAACCAATAAGCCCAGGCTTATCTGCTAACCCTGTAAAGTGTTATCCTGTTACATCCCTAATTCAGACCCTCTCTCTTCATAGACCAATGCACTTTGGAAAGATCTTCTCAAATAAACTTTTCTCCTATGTGGAAGAGATGCTATGCAGTGTGGTGAAAACTTCATGCTGGTTCCTCCCCATGTTAGCTTGATGGCTTTGTTTCCTTATTATGTAAGAGTGCCTTCATTGTTTCTGCCTGAGGATCAGGCTGGTCAGACAAGCAAATACACATTCCTTTGTCTAAGGCAATCTGGGTTTATGCTTCTTGCCAAACACATTTCAAGAGCATAATTCTAGCACATACTCATAACTCCTTGTAAACATCCTGTGTTCCTCCCCATGTTAGCTTGATGGCTTTGTTTCCTTATTATGTAAGAGTGCCTTCATTGTTTCTGCCTGAGGATCAGGCTGGTCAGACAAGCAAATACACATTCCTTTGTCTAAGGCAATCTGGGTTTATGCTTCTTGCCAAACACATTTCAAGAGCATAATTCTAGCACATACTCATAACTCCTTGTAAACATCCTGTACGTACGCCACTCAGTATCAGTGAGATATTAGTTTTCTATGTATCATGACATCAGTACGTTATGTGTAATAAGTATGTCAGACCTTGTGAGTAGATGACGGAGTAGTGAACCACTAACAGGCCTCAGCGTCATCTTCCTTTTTAGACCTCCGCCTTCTCAGCATAGAACTTGCATTGAACTAATCTGGTGACACTGTGATGTAGATACATTTCCTCTACAAACTAAAAGGAGACTATTGTGTTTGTTTCAGTTGTGGCTTAAATTGACTAGATTCAAAGTCTTCAGGGATAAAATACTAGGGCATCAATCCATGTTATTGCATGAATATATCATATGTTAATAAATACAGTATGGGGCAGATTCTCCGCTGGTGTAAACGCTCATTGTACCATTAAGTCTATCAAAAGTTTTTATCGGTTGAGCCTCTACCCATGTTTGTGCAAATGGCTATTAGTGAACTAATATCTATGACACTATTCATAGCTATCAGTGCATACGTACTTCCTTGTGCTGCTTCACTTCAATTAACGTCATTGAATAAACTGATCATCCCTTAAGGATTCATATTTTTTAAGCTAGTTCATATTAGGAAATCTATTTCTTCTAGCTGTAGATAGATATTTCTTCTAGGTCTATTTCTTCTTTCTAATTATTTATACATAACTCACAGGATTAACTCAGAAAAATGAATTGTGATTTAAAAAAATTAATCATGTTAAACAAGAATGCCAATTGTAATTCATTAAGTATTTTGGGTGTTTGTCTACATTTTCAAATATATTTTTATTACAACACAATACAGATTGTACAGTGCTCAATATTTTTTATTACAAATATTTGCACTGTAAAAATAAGAAATAGTATTTTTCAGTTCACATACAGGTACTGTAATGCAAACTCTCATGAAAGTGCAATTTACAAATTTAGATTTTTCTTTTGTTACATAACTATACACAGAAACAAAACAATGTAAAACTTTAGAGCCTGTAAGTCCACTCAGTCCTACTTCTTGTTCTTATATCACTACACAAATAAGTTTGTTTACATTTACAGGAAATAATGCTGCCTGTTTCTTATTTAAAATGTAAACTGAAAGTGAGAACATGTTCACATGACACTTTTGTGACCTGAGTTGCAAGGTATTTATGTGCTAGATATGTTTAATGTTCCTTCATGCTTCGGACACAATTCCAGAGGACATGGACATGCTTACAAGCTGAGGATGCTCATTAAAAACTGTTAATTGAATTTGTGACTGAACTTCTAATCTGTTTTACACACATTCTGCCATATATTTCATGTGAGAGAAGTCTCAAATGACCCAGCACATGTTTGTTTTAAGAACGCTTCCACAACAGTTTGGTACCTTCTTTGCATTTTGTCAATGCAAATGTCTAAAAATAGCTGTGGCACGTGATCCAATATTTAAGAATCTGAAGTACTGGCCAACATCTGAAAGGGGCAAGGTGTAGAGCATCCTTTCAGAAATCTTAAAGAGCAACACTTTCTGTGGAAACTACAAAACCAAACCACCAAAAAAGAAAGTCAACCTCTTTTTGGTGGTGTATAACTCAAATGCTGAAAATGAACATGTGTTGGTCCACTCTGTTTTGGATTGTTATCGAGCAGAACCAGTCATCAGCATACACATGTCTTCTGGAATAGAGGTTGAAGCATTAAGGGACTAGGGATGTGAATGGTTAACTGGTGGGATTTAGAGCAGTCCGGCAGGGCTTGTCATGAGCAGAGACATTCTAGCCTGCCCTGAGCAACCCCTCCCACCCCCATTTACTCAATTAACCCATTAAACTTAAAGTTTAACCAGTTAACTAATTGGGATTTTACTTCCCTAGAAGGGACACACGAATCTAATTAAATGGGATTTTACTTCCCTAGAAAGGACACACGAATCTGTAGTGCATCTGGCATGTACATATTTTGGGACCCTGGCTACAATGATACCATACAAATGCCTGTTCTCGCTTCCAGGTGATGTAAACAAGAAGCGGGCAGTATTACCTCCTGCAAAATTTAATTAAGCTTGTATGTCTGAACGATCAGCTGACCAAGAAGTAGGATTGAATGGACTGGTAGGTTGTAAAGTTTTACATTGTTTCATTTTTAAATGCAATTTTGTACATAATTCTACACTTGTAAATTCAACTTCCATGGTAAAGAGATTGCACTACAGTCTTGTATAAGGGGAATGTTTTTCACAGTGCAAATATTTGTAATCCAATAAATAAAAAGTGAGCTCTACATACTTTGTATTCTATGTTCTATTTGGAATCAATATATTTGAAAATGTAGAAAGCATCCAAAATGCTTAAATAAATTGTATCTCTTTTTTAACAGTGCAATGAAATATGATTTTTTTTAGTCACTTGACAGCCCTAATTTCTTCATTCTCTACCACTGCTGTAATCACATAAGACAGGCTGAAAGGTGGGAATCATCTTTCATTCCATGTGTGCATAGCATCAAGCATAGCGGAGTATTAAATAAGTCCAAACTTAAATTTATCCAAAATTTGCTGAGGCACTTTGCTTAATCAAACTGGTCTTCTTCAGAAACTCCAATGTAAGCTAATCTCTTCATAACTAAAGGATTGCTTAAGTGGAATTGATCATCATGTTTGCCACAACACAGTAGAAAAAACTACATTGCAACTCATAAAGATGATCTTTAAGTCCTTCCACTGAACACAAGGAAGGTAGATGAGTGCTTTCATGAAAGCTAACAATGCAAAGACTATCTTCATTTGCAACAACAAAAATTGTCCCTTCATAATAAAAGGCTATGAGACAAATGTGCATTGGGTGGAATTTTACAGCCTGCTGTATTTTTCAGCTTTGTCCATTTATTTTTTGCAGCCTTTATAATTGTGGCATCTGTTGCCATAACACTGAAACAAAACAATAGCTTGGTTATTCCAGATTTCTTTACAATTTTGGGAGACTAAATAGTTCAGAGAGAGACAGAGACACTCACACAGAGAGAGAGAGAGTGTGTGTGTGTAAAAACAGAGCCATTCAACGACTGGGTAAATAATTCATAAAGTAACTAGATAGGAACAAAATCGCTGAACAAGTTTTTGTGAAAAATTGTGCAGGTTTTTGTTTTGCCAATTCATTTATTGTGATTTTTTGCATCTGACTCGGGACGTAATTGTTCAAGACACTTTTTTTTTATGTGAAACATATGAAAACTCAAGTCCATCTTTTGCTCAAAAATTCAAACTGATCAGTTTTTACAAAAGAACCCTGTTAGAGGCTATCTGTTCCAAACAGCTGGTGGTTCCCTCTAAGCTCCATGCACCTCTGGCAGGGTGCAGGAGGGGAGCATGTGAAGTCTCTTGCTTCCTCCTCCCCAGGAGCCGGTAGTGCCTAGAAAGAAAAGCCCCTTTCTGCCTGAGGCCCTGCCCCATTGGGGGTGCCCTGCTACAACTGCCAAAATTTTGAAGTGCCCCCTCCCCATAAAAATTATTGCCCATCACTGCCTCAGCTTTTGCTATAGATGAATGGTTTTCAAACTACATAGTGTGATCCAGTACCAGGTTGTGGAATATCAGGCACTGGGTCTTGTTGCTACAGAGGGATCAGGTGACCAGTGTAGGTGCTAAGGCAGTTCCCTGCCTGTCCTGGCACTGCAGACCGCACTGCGCCCTAGAAGTGGCCAGCAACAGGCCTCACTTCTAGATGTGAGGGGCAGAGTGCACCGGGCTCCGTGCACTGCCCCTGCCCCGAGCACTA